ATGCACTGAAGCTTCCAAAGATAGATATACTTTCGTTCAGTGGAAATCGGTTACAGTGGACAGAATTTTGGGACTCGTTTGAAAGTGCCATACATGGTAATAAAAGGTTATCAAATATTGATAAATGCAACTGTATGAAAGGAAAAATAACTGGTGAAGCTAGAAACGCAATAGCGGGACTTTCATTGTAGAATGATAATTATGACGTGGCTATTGAAATATTACATAAACGATTTGGAGACAAATGGGAAATTATTGATATTCACAGATTTAGCCACAGCACGGAATACAACAGAGAGTCTTAGATACTTATTGATAAAGTTGAACGTCATCGGCAGAGTATTGAAGTGTTAAATGAAAGTATATATCAACATGCTTTTGTGTTGATGATCCGAAGCAAAATACTTAGTGATGGTTTCTTGCAGCTTGTAATACTTAAAGGTGTAGACAAGAAATGGTCGATACGTATCTTACTTGATATATTACGGCAATATGTTGTGTCGAAAGAGAAGGCAGATAAAGATAAATTGTAAACGTCAACTCAATCAAATGAAAAGATGCAAGGATTTCAAATATCAAAATCAGCTTTTTTCCAGAGAAGTACAAGAAAAACAAGCTACAAAACGTGACATAGCAAGTGCTCTAGTTGTGAGTGAATAGAAAATTGTTCCTACTAAAGATTGTAGAGTCTGTGAAAAAGCTCACTGTAGCGATAAGCGTAATAAATGTAAAACAATTGAAGAAAGGAAGAAGCAACTAATATGTAGTTGTTTCAGATGCCTAAAAGATAACCATATGGCAAATGACTGTAAGAGTACAAAGACATGTGTATATTGCGGAAAAGCAAATGTGCATCATAGAAGCCTATGCGAAAATAAATTTCCAAAACATTCAGTAAAAGTACCTATTCATTTTTCTGGGGCAGTAAATAATACAGAAAGAAAAGTTGAAAAGTATGACTTCTTTCGTCAAACGAAACGGTCTTGAAGCAGACAGCTTTGCAGAAATTAAGGAAAGGAAGGTGATAAATGTGAACAAGTTCGTTTGATTTTAGATTCAGGATCGCACAGGACATAGTTACGAAGTCACTGGCAGAAGAGGAAGGTGAGCAAGAATTACATCTGGTGACTTTTGGAAGTGAAAAATCAAAACCAATTAGAACGAAAACAACTAGAGTAAAAGTCAAATTGAAATCCGGAAATTACATGAACCTTACAGCAAATATTGTGCCTATTGTAAGTGGCGTAATACAACGCAATCCGGTAAAAAAGGAACAATCACAGCGATAATATGAACTTACACGAAATCTTATTCTAGCAGATACCATTCCTACAGAAAAAGAGTTCAGTTCAATTGATCTTTTAATTGGAAATGAAATAATTACTATCTATATATAATTGAATCAGAAATCTTTTAGTGAATTCTGGATTAAACCTGCTCTTGTCAAAGCTTATAACTGGAAGAACGAATGTTTGCGACATAGTAGAAAATTCAGATGATATCAATTTGCTGATCATCCTTTTTGAAATACGCTCGGTGAAAATAGTGTATTAACTGATGCTGATAAAGTTTTGCCAATTACACCGAGCTTTATAGACTTCTGGAACATTGAATCAGTAGGAATTACAGATAAAACTGAAAATACTGATGATTAAAAAGCTATGAGAAACTTCAAGGAGACCCTCAAACGCGAAGACGGACAATACCAAGTTACATGGCCTCTGAAAGAAGATATATCTGATCTCCCTGAAAATAGTGGATTGGCTTAAGGGAGATTGAAATCGCTTATTAATAAAATTGATAAACAACCGGAGTTACTGCAAAAATACGATGCTGTGATTCTGGATCAGTTGGAAAAGGGTGTAATTTAAAAGATTGATCGCATGACAAACGACGGAATCAAACATTTCATCCAACATCATGTTGTCATTAAGCCACATAAGAAAACTAAATAATTGAGGATCGTCTACGATGCGTCAGAAAGGATTAGAAAAGCTTATAGAAGCCTCAATGAATGCTTATACAGAGGTCCAGTACTTCTACGTAATCTGTGTGGTATGTTCTTGAGATTTAGGATACCAAAGGTAGGAATTGTTGCTGACATCGAAAAAAGCCTTTCTGCAAGTAAAATTACAGCTGTCGGAAGGAGATGCAACCAGATTCTATTGTTTCAAAAATTATAGAGAACATGAAGTTGACGAGGACCATATCAAAGAATTAAGATTCCGACGTTTACCATTTGGCGTTATATCCAGTCCTTTCTTTCTACAGTCGAGTGTCATTTAGACTCATACGGAACATATTTAGCTGATGAAATAAAAGAGAATATATATAAGGAAAATTTAGTAACAGGCACATACACTACTGAAGAGGCGATATCTCTATACAAAAGTGCTAAATCAATGTTCAGTTACGCAAGAATGCACGAACGAGAATGGATGAGTAACAACAAAGAATTTTTTTTAAAAAATAGCAAAAGAGGATCTATCATATAATGAGGTCATACATGGAATACGAAAACGACAAATTTGCTATTCAAATATCTGAACTCATTAACGAAGAACTTTTAATGACAAAACGATACGTGTTCAGACAACACGCTTCTGTTTACGATCCTTTGGGAATGTTTTCACCCGTTACAATGAGAGGAAAAGTATTACTTCAAAAGGTCTTGAATAAATGTCTTGATTGGGATGATAAGCTAGATGCAGACGGTAAAAGTGAATGGCTAATTAAAGATCAAATGGGATTTGATAAAAATATATTGTGTGGCATTAAAGAGATACGTATCATTGTCTAACCAACGGAACCAACGGAAATTAACAACATATGTGTTAGTATGTTTCTGTGATGCTTCAAATAAAGCGTATGCAACATCCATCTTTTTGTAACAGAAGATATTCTCTAAAACTCGGATTGCTCCGGTAAAGCGCATGACAATACCAAATCTTGAGCTATTGGCAGTTCTGATAGGCATAAGGTGCTTGAGTTACGTATAAACACAGATTAAGCTACCGTTGGCTTCAAAAGTGTTGTTCTCAGATTCGTTATGTGTGCTCAATTGAATATCATCTAAGAAAGTTCTACCAGTGTTTATAGAAAATAAAGTTAAGGAAATTAGGCGTCAATGTTAGTCTTTGGTACGTGAATACAAAACAAAATCTAGCAGACATCGCTAAACGAGGATGTGATTGATCAAATCTCTGTAAAGACAGGTTATGGTGGCATGATCCAAAATGGTTGTTATTACCAATAGATAAGTGGCCAAACAGAAAATGATAATGTAGAAGAAAATTTTGTGCCTGGTGAAAAGGTTATAGGTTGTTTAAAGAAGTTGAAACTGCCTTTGAGCATTCAAAAGTACCTAAATGTGGTTTCAGTCCACAATGAAACACCATTTCGAATTAACGAATTTAGCTACTCATCAGCAACGAGATTGATAAGAGTCACTGCCTGGTGTAAACGATTCGTGAACAAAATACGTGGTTAGAAATGTCTGAGAAGTTATATTTCTAGTGAACAGTTAGCTGAAGCAGAGTGCTTATGTGGCAACAATATGTGCAAAAGTAAAGATTTTCAGATGTTTTTAACTCTATTGCCTCAAAAAAAAACGAATAAAATAGCAAAACAATTATATGTTTCTATTGATGAAAACGGTATGTTAAGTTGCGGAGGGAGGCTACAACAAGAGCGCATAAAAAGTTAATGCACAGTGGCATGTCACAAACTTTAAGTGAAATAAGATTCAATATCTGGATTCCGCATGGTAGTGCAAAGTTCTAAAAGAATGTCATGTATGTCGTAAAATAGAAGGAGGTCCATGTAAATTGCCAACAATGGCCCCGTTGCCTAAAGCGCGTGTTTCAGAAACAACTCCGATCTCCAGGACTGGCATAGACCTTCTCGGACCACTCTATGTAAAAGAAAATAAAGAGAGGCAGAAAGTCTGCGTATGCCTGTTTTTCGGTTTCACTACACATGCTATTCATCTGGAATTAGTACAAGACATGTCAGCGACGCTCCTTTTGCCCAACGCAGATTGCGCATTCGCGGGAAAATACTTCTTTCTGTAAAATTTTCATAGCAACGGATCGCGTTGTAAAAAGGTCAATTGCCTAAAATAGACAATGTTGACCTTGAATGAGCAAGTACGACCTTGGCCCTGGAGATAGGGAACTGGTTCTTGCGCATGATACATCGTTTTATTAAAACAAACATTTGTGCCAAGTTATTTCAAATTCCTTTGATAAATGACAAAGTTACGGACCGGACACAAAAATGTGACGGACGGACGGAGCCTATTTCTATATCCCCCATTTTTCTTCGAAAAGGCGGGGGACAGAAAACAAAGGATGGACATACTGTAATTGATCTTTTTAAGAAATTAACCCGTTTCTTGATTCATTGGCAGACCGTTTTCACTCAAGCAATATTACTGATACCTGTTTCTTTAACAATTTTATTACTTAGACTTTGCTTATTTTGATTTAAATTCCCGGTCATGAAGGGAAAGTGTGACCAATGTATACCTGGTGGTTTATTTCTCTTGTTATCAGGGTAAAACACTTTGAATACGTCTTCTTTTTCAGAAGAATTTCGACTAAATCTATTAAAGCAAACTGGTTAATACGTTAACTTTGTTTCATAAACTGAAATATAAACTAAATAATAAACTGAACACTGTAATGTCCCGTGATTGATAGTTGTATCATACATCATTTGTTAAAATATAAATTTAAAATCGATTTTTCAGAGAGGCTCAAAAGTTATTTTTGCCAATTTAAATCATTTTCAGCCCGTTGCCAAAAAAAAATTCCAAAATAACGATTACTTACCGTGGTTATTGCGCTACTAAAACAAGCACAGAGTAAAAGGATTGTAATTTTAATAAAGAAATATATGACGGAGAGTGTCGAATTTGGCGAACATGTTAATCAGTTTTAGAATGGTTGATGGATGGGAAATATCAAAGTTACTGTACATGTATGAAATATACTTACTTGTGCTGAATTAGCCAATCAACAGTTGTAGCTGCCTGCACGCTGAAATCATCACAACTTTCTTTAAATTTAAAACCTATTCTTAAGATACAGTGTATCGCATATAGCTCTTTGTAACCTGCACAGCAGTCTAAGGTTTTTGAAAGTTATTTTGGCAACTTCAGATCAAACCTGCCAAAAACCAAAATGAGTTTTACATCAAGAAATAATCTAAATCTGTCAGAAATGTTACACACCGTGATAATTGAGCTCTAACAGTTTACAGAGCACACGGTTTAAGGATTGCAAAATTGATATAGAAATATCCGAAAAGAGTGACGTATATACTTACATACGCAGTTTGGTCCATTCTTTGTAACAATTTTGAGTTTCTTTGTCAGAAATAGGTATCCGCCATTTGTAATCGTCGCAGCATTCTGTAACTTTAAAACCTACTCTCACGCAACAGTATGTCATGCATAGTTCTGGATAATGGTCTTTTCCAGTAACATCTCTGTAACCTGGACAACAATCCAAGGCTTCTGACCTCTGACCTATTATCATACAGAAATATAACTTGACAAAACACCCTATGCTTCTTAGTCTATTCGTTCATTCAAAAGTAATCATTTTAACCTGATTTCGAATATAATCTGTCTTAGATTAATCAATAATCCGCTTCCCTTAAATGCCGTTTTAGTAACATATCCCTTATGTATATATTCTAATAGCAGATTCACAATGCAAGGGCTTATCAATTTTCAAGTATAACTACATAGGTAATCTGTCACTAATATGTTCTTATATGTTCCTTTAATACTTGCTCCCATTAGGCATTACTTAAAGATTTTTAGACACATCGCAGCCCAGAGTTATATATTGGTGGGACAGGATATAAGATACATCCGTACAATTTATATAGGTTCGCACCTGGATAGAGCCACTACCCTTCCCGAACTACCTGGAAAGTTAAAACACGTCACACAACTTTCTTAAGTGTCGGTGAAATGAACAACATCACACTATCACACCGTACAAACGAAAGACCAGACAGCAGTTCAATGAACTAACAAAAGTGATATTATCACTGCGAAAAATAAGCCTTCTTGCGTTAATAATGGTCCAGTATATTTGTTATATACGGGGACTTCGGGATCCATTTTGAATTTCTTGCTTTGTTGCAAATCATTTCTATTTACATTATCTTAAGATGGCAATACAATGTTTTCTTATCTCCATATACAAATAAAGGGCTTTACAACTGTCTGATTTCATGTGCTGAAGTAAGTTTTTCGTGGAACATGGCTAAAATTAATCATGCGTAAATCCGGTTGTCTCCTCGAAAAGACAAATATTTGCTTGAACAAAACGCATGACATGAACAAAACATATGAATTTTTAGTCTACCTTTTGAAACTAGAAAGCAAGTTTTGATGTTTTCTATGCCTTGCTTTGGTGTAGGTTAAGCGAATGCTTAGCTCTTTATTGAAGCTTTACATTCCTAATGTTAACTTATGCATATCGAATGTCTAAAGATCCAGTAAGATCGGCATTTGAAATGTCCAGCTCTGCATTTGCAATAACGAGCTATGCATACTATATTACAAACCCTGTTATTCGAATGTCCTGCTATGCCAACCAAATGTCAATTATGATACAAGCCTTTCCGGTGATTGTCAATTACACTCATATGATATGCGGTCTATTAGCGGAACTTTGCATGATGTTCGCGGAGTTTTATAGTTTGAGAGAGAGCCGAATTTTGTGAAGGAAACAGTGTTTTATTTTTGTGCAAACAAACTGTAAATTCCTGGTGTGAAAAATAAAGCGCTGATCTATCGTGTGCATATTAGGAAAAGAACATCCCGCACATGCAGGCAATTGTTGTAAAATATAAAATACGGCATCAAATTTAAAGGTCGCTCAAACTTATGTCAACGGTTTGACCAAAATAGCAAAGATGCAAGAAAAGAAATTGTTTATGCAAATAGATTATATTCAAATTGTAAGTCTGCCTTTAATATGGAAAATTTGATTAACATCAGACAGTTGGACAAATTACAGAAGAGCAAATACAGAAGATCACTGTGCTCAAAATAATAAAATGCATAATTTATCAAAAACCCTCCGAAATTATTTTGGGAGGAAATTATTTTTAAAAAATAGTAAGAAAGATTCCGATTGTAAAGTGTTGCATGCAATTCTTCTTTACACATTTTAAAAATTTATAACAGCCAAAATTTATTTCAAATGATGATGCTGAACAGTGTATTAACATTGATGATGTTATGTTAAAATAAGTTGATATGCTAGATAAAGAAATTACTATAGAGGAGGTACATGTAACTATGGCTGTTTCTTCGCTGAATAGGAACAAAAGAGAATAATCTTTTTTTACCTGAAATCTTTATTGAATGTAATGATTTACTATCTCCAATATGGTGTAATCTTTTTAATCAAATTTTCACAAGTAAATCTTATCAACCTCGTCTGAAGAATGTGATCCCAATGAAGTAAATATTTAAATGAGTATTTCGCTAACAAGTACTTTTTTTCAAAACTATGCTCGGTAATCTTGGCATGACTTCGTTAATTGTCAGAGAACAGATAATCAGTATGGGTTTATGATTGTAGAAGTACTGTTGACTGCATATTGGTACAAAATTCTATTATTGATAAGATTATTAAACTTGATAAAACTTGTAAACTGTATTTGTAGATTCTGCATTTGAGGCATTTGATTTAATTTATAGAAATTATATTTGGTTCTAATCAATTGGTATTGGTGTGTCAAGTAAAATGTAAAATTTTTAAGATGTATGTATAATATTGTAAAATTAGGTGTACGACATATTGGCTCATTAACTGACTTTTTTATATATACATGGGCTTGATACAGACAGAGCCATTATCTCCGTTTTTTGCTTATAATGTTCATTAATTATATGCAAGATTACTTAGCTGAAAATAGTATAGATGTTTTAAACATAATGATTGAGTAGTTACAAAATAATATGTTGTTGTTTGCTGAAGATACTGCTTTATTTTCTTTCTCTAAGCAAGGCTTACACATTTTACCTAATAGATTGTATAGTTATTGTAGGAAATGGGGTATTGACGTCAATTAAGAATTAAGTTTGATAATGCAATTTTGAAACAAGTTTAACACTTATTTATTAAGGAGTAACTCTATCATCTCATGGAAGTTTTTTAAGGCTCAAAAAGCATTGTTTACACACGCTTTTAAGGCTCTTTTTCTGAATTTCCTCTCAGAAAATATAAATTAAGATTGAAACTTTTAATTCAATAGTACATGTATAACTGTATAACATTTTTTATGTAACGGATCTGAAATATGGGGTTTCTATATATCATCGGACTTAGAACGCGGTTAATTAAAGGCTCTAAAATAAACACTCGAAATAATGTTAAACAACAAACATACAGTACAGCAGTTTATGGTGAATAAGGTTAATTTCCTTATAGAACGTACAATAAGAATAATTAAGTTTTGGTATGAAATAAAAAATAAGCCTTACTCAAGTATATATAACTATTTAACTATTCCAATTAAGGATATTATTTATATAAAAAGGTTTTGCCATGCATAGCATGAAAAAGCTTTTCGGAAATTACCATGTCCTGGAATGAATGGAATAACTGAGCATCCTAAAGCCTGTTCTGTATTTTGGTATTACTTTTTGTTCATGAATAATGAAGGAAATTCATCTTTTTTTTTCAAAACGTTTTAGTCTATTTTCTGAGTAATTTGGGGTTCGAATATGCCACAACTTGGGGGCTGACCAAGCGTTTTATAAAACATTCTCGTTACTCCATCTTAGTTCTTTGCTTACATTTTAGCCCTTATCGATCATTAAACCAGGTACTGTATATATATTAATATACATACCTGATTAAACACATTAACAGGGGACCATTGGGGAATCGGTCACTTGCCATCGTGGGATGTCTGTACAGCAAGAATAACAAAATGGAACATGTCCCATCCTGTAAATCTAGTATTAAGTTTTACGGTTTCAAGAAATAGTAGCCTTTACACATTTTGCTTTAATTAGAGTTGTACTTTTAAATGAACCACCTTAATGACGTTTCAGAGACAAAATGATTTATTGCATGTAACGTATAACAATATATGATTCTTACCTGTGGAAGTGTGATAGAATATCAGAAATGAATGTTATATGTATTATTCAAAGAATACATAATTAATATTTACGACAATAGTAATCTAAATATGGCTCGTCTTCTAAATTTAGTTATTTTAGAGAATTTAGGTCAAATTTTATTTCAGCTAGTTATTTAAATGCTCATCACACAAATTAGTGAATGAAGAAGGTCGATATAGGAATATTATCACAATCAAGACATAATGTAGAAGATGTTATATGAATTAAGTTGAATCAGACTATCATTTTTGTTAGTATGTCTTTTTTTACGAATTACGTTCAACGCTGTTAGATAGTTATTAAAATACATGGCTTAATATAAATAAATGCAATAAACTTATAAATGTCAACACCCAAAAGATCTGTTCTAGTAAAACATTTAAAATTTGTTTATCTCGCATTGAAGAAGAGAAATGAAATTGTTGATGTATAACAGAAATGTGCATTTCTTAAAATTATTTGTTATATTCAGTATGTATTATATTGAATATGGATGGCTGAGGTGACATGTATGGTATGTGTATGTATCTAAATATGTCCATCTTTTGTGAAAACATGAAAATGCCACTTTAAATTTAAATTGTCATCCTTTTCAATATCATATCACTATTGTTAATCTAACCTAATCTAAAGATGTGTTGGCGAAAACAGGTTTATATGTTTATGCTAATAAATATTTGACTCGACTTGTGTTAATAAGGCTACAAGTAATTCACAGTGTTAGTGTATCTTAATCACATAGGACCCACATAGTGTTTGGTTGGTATATACTGCTTGAAGGTGACCTTTAAATTACATTCAAATCATAACCTTATAATATGTATATAAAGATAGATAAGGTGCATTACTCGGTAAATAGAGAATTTACGATCACCCACAAATTCATGCGAGATTTTCCAGTAATTAAATTAAAATTTCCACAAAGTATACTGCGTTGCATAGCTTATTCAATCCACAATTGATAAACACTAGCTCTATTCTGATTCCCTCAGCCGACTTTAAGAAATTTATTCCAAACCGTTAACTACGGTCACAAAATTGCTTACTCGTACGATATGTCGCAACACCAAATTCTACGGGTAAAATATCAATTCTAAAAGGTGGAGGTACAAATAAACGTAAACAAACAATAACACAACATAGTTTCTATTGCCTCTACATTCGTCTGTTTCGAACGAATTCTTCAATTCAGTGCAGAAATCTGCTTCGGCGAAATTCTTGTCATGTGATAAACCGGTGTATCGAGATCTTTCATTGGTTCTCGCTCAAGGAGATATGGTTCCCAGTATAACATAAGCGGTAAATACATCAGCCGGGTTAATACCACATGTAAACAATGTAAATATTGGCGAAAAAATAAACAGTAC